CCTGAACCTCGCGGAGGTATATGTTGCTACGGATTGTGCACAGGTGGTACTCAACATTGAAGCTAATGCATCTTGTCGCTGCGCTATAATCCTTCAGGAGATAAATCACCGCAGAACTTTGTTCCGATCACTCAAGTTTGTACATGAGAATCTGAACCATAATGTAGAATCTCATGCAATCGCACGAGCAGCTTCCTCGCTTTCTTTCGGGCACCATGTGTGAGTAGATAGTCTGTCCGATATCATATGTATCCCTATAAACCTCAATCTTTAATGAAGGATACAGTTGCTAAAAAAATTGCCGAGTGTCGGGCTGTTTGCGGAGTATATATATTTTATCAGACACTCGGCAAAAAAAAAATGACAGCTGACAAGTGTTACATTCGGCAAACAAAAAACACTTGGCCAAGCAGGTGCTTCGGCAAATGTTTTTTATAAGACACTTGGCAAACAATTAAAAAGCAATAAAATGCATATGTTAAATTAGATTTTCAGGAGGGAACTTTTGAATATTAAGATTATTTGTTTTGAAGGGATCAATAAGTACATATAACTATCTAAATATGTTTTTCTTGAATTTATATCTTACTTTTTTATATACATGTAGTTCAAAATGAATATTGTTCGATAAACATCTCGAAAAGCAATTCATGTCTTAAATTTGACAACCCCGTTTCAGAAAAACGGCAAAAATTGAGATTAGTAACACAATGTAATATGTTCCTTCTAGAAAAAGTTAGGAATGTTTTAGATAAAATTTATTGCTATATTTAAGCAATAAAGTGCATTTCTAGGCATTTAAGGGTACATGAACAGGTTGGTAAAATAGGTTTGAAATCACATATTTATGTTAATGACTATGTTTAGGCCTGTCCAGTAAAATAATAGGAATTATAAACATACGGGGGCCAACACTTGACCCTGAACTTGGAGATTATTTGTTTTTAGACTCTAGAAAATGCAAACGAAGTCTTAAAAACATGCAACCTAGAATGGTGACATTATATTATTCCTACATATTGTGGTAAAAAAAACCAGGAGGTTTTGCAAAAGTAACGTCGTATGTTGCTTAGAAACAAAACCATCACTGTTGAAAATCATGGTTTTGAGAAGGAATGGTCGGGTTTCAAGGCGAAATGGGACACCCTAGAGTTCGTAGACTACTCTCTCGTAAAAGGATCTAGAGCTCCGACACCGCCGACACCGGCCTTCTTCCAATCTTCAATCTCATCTTGAATTTCATCTCTAAGATGCAGTGGTGATCTCTGTCTCGGCCTGTTATTGAAGACTCGTGCATTGTGTTGCTTTCAGAGCGCCCACGCAATGAGAATAACGATTGAGTCCACGCTTCTCTTGGTCCTCCCAGTGAATCTTCTCCTTTGGTCTAGCCACCAATGTAAGAACGTGGTGTTTGTGTCTGGCGTGTGTATGGTGATGTTCCATGAGCTGAAACAGGAGTGCCACACCTCGCGAGTGTAGACACACTGTGCGAGTATATGATCTGCAGTGTCCTCCTCCTGAAGGCAAGTGTAGCAAGGGGATGGGGCATCTTGAAGGCCATGTGGGGCGCGGCGGTCGGAAGTCTACAGCCAGTACTGACAGACCAACCACATGAAGATCTTGCACTTGAGTGGTGCCCAGCTTTGCCAAATGCAGCCGGCCGTCGGGGAACAGGTGTAGCCTATGCATAGTCTCTTGTAAGTGGAGCTGGTTGTGTATTTGCATAATGCATCGCAGGGCCACTCGAAACGATCTGGCATGTCCAAGTTCCTCTCCACCGTGCTAATGGCCTGGGACAGCATGTATACTTGCATGTGCCCCAAGAACGAGAGCTCTCCATGGATATCGTTCGCCCAGGCGTTGTCGAGGACCACTTCACGCACCGTTCTCCTGTTTATATCTCTTGTGCTGACTAGCTGAATGAGCAGCGGGGCAATGTCTTTCGCCGCAACTCCGTGGATCCAATGATCCTTCCAGAAGAGTACTTTCGATTCCTCTCCAACAGTGATCTTCACCAGGCTGTCAAAGACTGCACGCGCATGCTCATCAACCATCAGATGAAGGCCTTGCCATGGTCTGTTCGGGTCCGTTCTCCTTAGCCATTCCCGACTCACACGAAGTGCTAGTGCTTGCACCGCCAAATTCTTCACTCCCAGACCACCAAACCATCACCTAGAATTGTCGCATTGCAAAGCCTTGATGATTACATGGTATTGTATTGAGTACGAACAAAAGAGAAAAGGTGAAGCAGAGTGGAGGAGGTGTCCGACTTGTTGCGTAGGGGAAATGAACAAGAAAAGTATGTGTAATCATCAAGTATAACTAAGTAATATTGATAGCCAGAGAAGCTTACAACGGGGCTTGTCCATAAATCACAATGAATGAGCTCAAAAGGAGCATAGGTACGAATGCTAGAAGAAGAAAAAGGAAGACGTGGCTGGCGTCCTAATTGGCACGCAGTACATGGCTTGTGCGTTGGTTTATTACATGAAGGAAGGAAGTCATGGGCAGATAATGCAGACATGGTGTGAGGACTTGGGTGGCCGAGCCGACGATGCCACACATCGGCGGTGGAGACGGTAGCAGAGAGAGCGTTGCACCAAGTCTTGTTATTCCCGAAGAATGGATAGAGATCGCTGGAGCTAGCGGAGATCATGATTACCCTCCCGGTTCGAAGATCCTTCACAAGAAAGCCAAACGGATAAAATTCAATAGAGTAGGAGTTATCTTTGGTGAATTGACGGACGGAAATAAGACTCGTGATCACATTAGGAGAAAAGAGAACATCACGTAGGTGAAAGTTGTGTGGAGGGAGAGTGGTAGAACCGGTGGCATGAATGGGTAAGTGGGTGCCATTGCCAACAAGAATGCTAGACAAAGGATGCTTTAAAGAAGAATTCGAGAAGGTGAGGTTACCAGGGTTGTCGGTGACGTGGGAGGCAGCTCCGCTGTCGAGGTACCACTTGGATGGGGCGGAGCCAATGTTGGGGTAACCGGGAGTGCTGTAGGCGGCCTGGAGCATGGCGAGGTGATCCCACGATAGCGGTTGCGGAGGAGGAGGCGCGTGGAATCCGGAGAGCTGCATCGGGTATGCCTGAGCATGGGAGCCGGGCCGCAGACCGAGCATGACGTAGAGTTCGGGGGAACCCAACCAGGCCGCGCGGTGGGCAGGGCCATGACGTAGGGGGCGAAAAACCCCATGTAAGGGTTGTACGCCGCGGGAGGAGGGTTGTACGCCGCGGGAGGAGGGTTGCCGCGGCCACCTAGGTCACCACGACCACGTCCTCGACCACGGCCGCCGCCGTCACCATCCTGGCGGTTGCCAGATCCGCGACCCTGCGGGAAACCAGGCGCGCGATCGTTGCCGCGGTCGACGCGGTCACCCTGGCAAGGGTCGGAGGAGCTGCCGGAGGTGGAGTGGCCGATGTTCCCAGTGATGGCGAGGATGGGGACGGGCTCGTCGGCCACGCGCTGAGCGAGATTCTCCTCGGCGAGCTTCAGGCATGAGAAGACCGTTTCGAACGGGGGGAGAGGCACTGTGTCCCCCAGGACGACGCGGATAGTGTCGAGCCGTTTGTCGATGCCTTGGAGAAACTGGGTGGTGAGGTCGACCTCGGTGACGGCGTGTTCGATGTCAGCCAAGCCAGCAGTGAGAAGTTTCATGCGGTGAGCATATTCGGCAACAGAGAGATCACCTTATTTGAGGTTGCGGTATTAGCGATTCAGCATCATATACCGAGCCGCGCGATTCGCCAAGAAGTAGTCACGGATGCGATGCCACAGATCGTAAGTGGTGGTGGCGCCGACGACGTGATCGACGAGGTTGTCCGCAAGGGTGGAGTAGATCCATAGAACGAGGTGGGCGTCGAGCTCGCGCTGGAGGGCAGTGGCATTGGGAGGGAGGGGGTGTTCGATGAACTGGGCGACGCCGTAACGGATCAGAACGAGGAAGAAGAATGACTTCCACTTGTGGTAGTTGTGTTCGTCGGGGTTGAGGAGGAACTTGATGTGGTTTTGGATACTGTAGCGGAAAATTGGGTGCTGGGAAGGTGCAGCGGCGAAGGACAGCGGGGGCACCGGAGAGGAGAAAACAGGAGCGAATTGAGATCCGATAGAGGGGGAGGAGCCACTGTGGGACGTGGGGGAGGTGCCAAAGACGAAGGGGGAGTGGGTGCTGGCGGCGGCGGTGGTGCCGGCGTTGGTGGACGACGAGGAGAAGACGCCCGGCGAAGTGGCCGAGCTTGTGGCCGGGGAGCTGGAGTTCTCGGCCATGGGGTTCTGTAGTCTGATACTAAGTTGAATGATAGAATTCTCTCTCTGTATTGATTCCATCACTCTGATTACAATTTATACAGGGAAGAGTCGTTACAACAAATCCTACAAAGGTGGCACGCACGTCAGGACGTGGCTCAGATCCTAAATACATGGTGTACAAGTACATACAATACATCACATGTTAACAAAAACAAAGGAAAAGCAGCCCATTTAAGAAAAGCCTCGTACAAACACTCGCACGAACGAAGAGGAAAATCAATCGATCGGGGCAGGCCTATACGTAGGATGCTGACGTCCACGAAGTCTAAGCCGAATGAGTCCTAGCTAGACCCATTGAATTATTTCAAGAAATTATTGGTGCCATAGATTGTTCAAACACAATAATGTAGTTATCGAGTTCCGAAAGCAACTGACATGACGTATCTGCACTTGGAAAACGTTCTAGCAGTCTTCTTTTTTCCAAGTGGCCAGAAGAAAAACGAGAGAACCTGCAGTCTTGTACTACTAGCTACCTAGTGGAGTCGTGTTCGCTTACCTTGGCGATGGCGGCAATGGGCGTACTCATCAGCATCCTGCTCCTCCTACTCACACCACCGTCGCTGCTGGCCGCCGACGACTTCTGCGACAACGTCAAGGCCGTCGGAGCCATCCTCTCCAAGAACGCCTCCGCCTCCCCGGTACACTTCGCCAGCGCCACCTTCGGGCAAGCCCCCGACGTGGTCTCCGCGCTCGCGCTCTGCGGCGGCGACATCCTCGACGGCTCCGCTTGTGCCGGCTGCATCACCAGCTGGTTCGACAAGCAGGCGCTCAACCAGACGCAGTGCGCCAGGGCCGGCTCCAACTACCGGGACTGCATCATCGCCTACGGCGGCGCCGCCGCCAACATCCTCGCGGCGCCCTCCAACGCCACGGGAGGGTCCGGCGACAACACGCCGCCCTTCGAGGACTGGAGCATCAGGAACGTCTCGGTCTCGGGCGGCGCCGGCGCCGTCCCCCTCGTCGTCGGCCTCACCCGCGAGCTGCTGGCGGCGACTGCGGAGAAGGCGGCAGTCACGACTCCGAGCCGGTATGCCACCGGTGTCATGGACATGGAGAGCGTGGCGACGTACCCGAGGGTGTACTCGCAGGCGCGGTGCACGCCGGACCTGCCCGCCGACGAGTGCTCGGCGTGCCTGCGCCGTCTCCTCGGCATGGTCAACTCCACCATGTCCATGCGCATGGGTGGACAGATGGGTGTCACCCGCTGTTATTTCAGGTACGACGCATTTCAGTTCTACTCTGGTCAGCCACTGCTCAGTCTGCCGGCGCCGGCGCCGGCGGCAGCTCCGACTCCGAACAAAAGCAGGAGTAAGTCTTCCGAGTAGCAAATAAATAGTAAAATACAGTGACTAAGCAGAGGACCTTCGTCGCTACAGTAATTAACATTATTGTTTACATTGTTGATATCAATCAGGGAGCATGTTATGGGTAATCCCCGTAGTTGTAGTTCCTCTAACTGCAGCTGTATTTCTCCTCTTCATCTGTTACTATCGTCGGAGAAAAGGTACTTACGCTAATTATTTTTTGTTAGTGGAATGATGATTAATTATTACTCGGATTAAGATAATGTTACCGAGTATGTTATTTAATGCTAATGATGTTGCTCAAGCTAGGATCAAGATATGCAAGGAGGAAAATGCAAGAGAAAAACTCGGAGTTCTCTTTCTTTGACTTTGCAGAGCTAGTGGTGGCTACAAGTAATTTCTCAGAGGAAAACAAACTTGGAGAAGGTGGCTTTGGCCCAGTCTACAAGGTAAATTAATTACTAGGATTTTCATCTTCGACTCTGGCTTACTAAGAAGCCTAAGGCTGGTCATAATGATGATATCTTAGCCAGTATCATGTATTAGGAACTAGCAAACATGCTCTTGTGACACAATTAAAGAAGAGAAAGAATTAAAGTAACATAGGTATATATCATATTATAGTAAATATTGTGTTACTATATGTCAAGCATGTCAACAAATAAGATTATCTATAATACTTTGCATTATGAAGATAGTATCACACATCAGTATCATATGCATGATATTAGTATATAATACCTCCCAACCTAATCTACAATTTTTGTATGAAAACAAGTATATGCATTGAAAATACTTCAGTTTCCAATGATATTATTTTTGCTACATATACTATATATTTCACTAGTCAAATTTAAGGTCAAATTATGACCCAAAATCCGAGAGGGGCAAGCAAACCCGGTCGGAGGTAGTAAACTTCTAAACGGGAGAGGACGAATTATTACCACATACGTACACTGGGAAAGCCCTTTTTTTTAATAGACCATTCTTGCCAGGGCCAGCTTCCAGATGGGTTGGAGATAGCGGTCAAGAGACTTGCTTCACTTTCACGACAGGGATTCATAGAGTTCCAAAATGAGCTCCAGCTCATAGCCAAGCTCCAGCACATAAATTTGGTTAGGCTCTTGGGGTGCTGCTCTCAAGAGGAGGAGAAAATATTGGTCTATGAATACTTGCCCAACAAAAGCCTGGATCACTTCATCTTTGGTATGCATTTACATTTCTTAAGTTCCTTTAATAATTATCGCTTCGATGCTCGATAAGAATTGCTAAATTATATCCCAATACAACTTATTTTCATTTGTCTAGGTGTCTTTATCCTATCCTAGCCTGTTATACTAATATCTAATTGTTGCATGTGTAGATGAGAATAAAAGGCCTTTACTGGATTGGCCAAAACTTGTAGCAATAATTGAGGGAATAGCACATGGTCTTCTTTACCTGCATAAGCACTCCCGGTTGCTTGTTATACATCGAGACCTTAAACCGAGCAATATTCTCCTGGACAGTGAAATGAATCCAAAAATTTCAGATTTCGGTCTAGCAAAAATATTCAGCTCAAATGACACTGAAGCAAACACTACAAGAAGAGTGATTGGCACATAGTAAGTTCCTCACATAAAAAGTCCAATTGCAATTATACATATTACAATTCAACTAGAAAAAAAGTAGTCTTGACATGTATCATATACCATTTCAGTGGCTACATGGCCCCTGAGTATGCTTCAAAGGGCATCTTCTCTATTAAATCCGATGTCTTCAGCTTTGGTGTAATCATTTTGGAGATCCTTAGCGGAAAACGGAATTCTGGTCAGCAAGAATGTGGAGAATTCATCAATCTGCTTGGACATGTGAGCTTATACACAACCTTAAGCTTGTAAAATTGTACTTTTCATTTCCTACACAACCTAATTTGTGTAATGGAATTGCAAATAGGCATGGCAATTATGGGAAGATGGAAAGTGGTTTGACCTCGTTGATTCATCATTTGTTCCCCATAGTCACGCGGCAAAGATGATGCGATGGATTAACATAGCATTGTTGTGTGTACAAGAGAATGCGGCTGATCGACCAACCATGGGAGATGTTGTTTCAATGCTAAGCAGTGAGACTATGATCTTGGATGAGCCTAAGCAACCAGCATATATCAATGTAAGAGTTGGAAATGAAGATGTGTCAAGTGCTCCCGAGTCAGATAGTATTAAGGATATGACAATATCTGTCACAACTCCAAGATAGTTTTTTTCCTTGTGTTATGTGTTTAGCGTCATGTTGTAGTATTCACATAACATAAGTTTAATTTGTACAGTGCGTTAGTTTAAGTGCTGTTTCAAATGTGAGACTGTGTAACCTAAAGAGTATAAAGAGGGTTTCCAAAATAGGAGGAGTACATAATGAGATGTTTTTCCATACCTTCGCCGCCAGCAGACCCGTTCGTGCTCCAACTGCTCCTCCGATTATCCGAGCGGCGGTCTTGGCGGTTTCTTCCATTGACCCCCAGCGCCCGCGCCCGGTCCATAATCCTCGGCGACCTCTTCTACCTCGCCCTGTGTCGGTTCGGGTCGACGCTTCGTGAGGCGACTGATCGCTTGCTTCTAAACTGCGTGAGCCTCCTTCGTCCCCTGAGTAAATGGAGGCAAAAACAGGGCAATTCACGTCAACGGCCGTGAAATTCGGAGGTAAAAATAGAATTCACTCTACAAAGAAAAATAAGGACAAATCAATCATCAAATTCCCCAAAACTATGCTAACCCATTCACCAAGATCCCGCGGCTCTGCTGGCCTTGGAGAGTTGGAGGGTGGACTAGAGACCAGACGTACAGCAGTTTGGATAGTGATGATCAGACCACTTGTTCAGTAAACGACGATGACCCAACCATGACCCGTGCATAGCTACTCGAGTCAGTCCACCTGATCTTCGTGTCCTTTTTTTCACATATAGACATAGTATTATACTCATCACTAGTTGGCCGCCCATGCATGTCATGGGGCAAATCAGTGGTAGCGCCGCAGTTTCCAGCATGTCAACTTGTCAATTGGCATCTCCTAGTTTCTAATTTATGCTTGTTTATGTAAGCTAACTTTGAAAAACATTGCTGTCACCGTGCGTGGATGCAGTGCACGTTGGATCAACTTGCAACGTTAGGTGAGGACCAGATAAGCTTTTTCCTTTTGCAATACATTATGTAAGCTAACTTTTAAAAATAGGTCGTCCCCGCCAAACCTAGACTAGAGTTGAGTGACTTTCAACCATAAACCTATCAACTTCAGTCTTGCTTTTTGAGAAATTAGGCTTCATCATATGAACTCCCTCCGTATGTTTAGCCTACAAAACCATCTTATTTTGATACAAAGATAGTAATAATATATTAATACAGTAATGCTAAAAATCTAACGTAGAATTTTTAAGCATGACAAATCGAATATTTTTTCTGGCAAATTTAATTGGCTTGCGGATGGTAATTTTAGTTTACAGCAATTTCCTCGCACGAAAATGAAGTGAGCCGGATTTGCCATGCTTGCCAACTAGACTTGCCATCCTCTGCAAACACAAATTGCCAGAAAGAACGATTGATTTGCCATGATAAAAAATTTGACACTAAATTTGTAGTGACGTCGGATTTATATGCCTAGCTATCCATATTGCCGTAAAAAAGTTTGATTTGCCATGGTGAAAAATCAACTTCTCTTCTTCTGCAAAGGGGCCTTTTGAAAGCAACGCCCAGCATGACTGCATACACTTTCTTCAAATTCTTACAAGTAATTTCCAAGGCGACCTGAAAGCAACATTTCTTTTCCACAGAATGCCAAACACGGTCGTTATTAGTTATTGACAATCATATCGGACAAGGACCGGGAAATATATAGATAATCGAAATTTCTTTGCATTTTTCCAAGTGAAAGCAACGACAAACAAAAAACAATTTGGGCAGGAAGAAGGCTGATTTGTTGCAACGTTCGTTGTTGACTCCGAGAAAGACCAGCCGGCAGATAAATAATCACCTACACTTGCTGTCTTCCTCTGCATTTTCCAAGTGAAATAAGCAACCACAAACACAAAGAGGCACACGTAACGTACGGTTAGCAGCATGGAGGGCGTGCTGCTGCTGCTCCTCCTCCTCATGCCGGCGTCGGCAACGGCGATCGGGATCACCTGCGGCAGCGGCCGGAACTACACGGCCAACACCACCTTCCAGTCCAGCCTCTCCGTGCTCGCCGCCACCCTCCCTGGCAACGCCTCCTCCTCCCCGCAGCTGTTTGCCACCGCCACCGCCGGCGTGGTGCGCGCGCTCGCGCTCTGCCGCCGCGACACCATCAACACCACCGCGTGCACGGACTGCCTCGCCTCCTCCTTCAAGTACGCGCAGAAGATGTGCCCGGACCGCAAGACCGGCGCCACCGTCTACTACGACTACGACGAGGTGAACGCCCTGCAGCCAGGCTGCATCCTGGGCTTCTCCGGCGACGCCGGCTTCCTCGGCCAGGCATCAAGTGTCACCGGGAACGGCACCTTCTTCCAGTACTGGAACCCGGTGAACCTCCCCGGCAACGCCCGCGTCATCGCGACTGCCGTCCGCGAGCTCCTCAACGAGACGGCACGGGACGCGGCCGCCTCGGCCAGGGGGTTCGCCACGGCCTTCATGGACTCCATTGGCGGCGCCGCCCCGACGCTCTACTCCCTGGCGCAATGCACGCCGGACCTGTCCGCCCGTGACTGCCTGGCATGCCTCCGGCGGCTCGTCGGCACGGTCAACGCCACCAACTCCGTGCGCATGGGAGGACGGATCTTCGTGCTCCGCTGCAACATCAGGTTCGAGGCCTTTATGTTCTACGACGACAAAAACACGCGGCGGATTCCATTTTCATCTCCATCATCCATGGCTCCGGCACCGGCGCCGGCCCCCACAGGCAAGATATACATGCCGACGATCCATAAGATTCCATTTCTTTCTCCGCGCATGCATGCAAACAATTCAAATATATATGCCGTACTCTTGATTAATTAGTTGGAATGTTATTATGAATTACTTATGCTAATTAATTCGTTCATGGATGTTTAATTATGAAGGACATGGAATCAGACCTTGGGTAATAGCCTTATCGGTAGCTGCACCTGTAACACTGGTTGCTCTCTGCTGCTTCATCGTTTACTGTTGTCGGCTTAGAAAAAGGCACACAAAAAAAGGTGGGTAAATTAGTTACTGAAATGCTCAACAGAAATATAAAACTGTCCTAATTTCAGAGATCGATCGATATTGATAGTGCCAGTTCACAATTTTCAGGTAAAGTGACCTTACAGGAAAAAAGTACTCACCAGTTTCAAGGAGATGAACTAGTTTGGGAAATGGAAGCAGAGTTGTCTGAATTTTCAGTATATGAGTTTCATCAGATATTAGAGGCTACAAGTAACTTCTCCGAGGAAAACAAACTTGGCGAAGGTGGATTTGGCCCAGTTTATAAGGTAATATATAACACCATGCATTCTGCGCTCCATGTTTTCTAGGCAAGGCAATACAAAATGCACACCAATACAAAACGACTATAAGAGGAAGAATATTGATCCGAGGTGGTGTAAATGTGCTTTTACTCGGCACTAGGGAAACACTAATTTATTTGTGCATCATAAAAGAAACCCAGATTAAATGTTGCATATTGATACAAAATATTTATTTTTCCCAGGGCTACTTTCCTGAGGGAATAGAGATAGCAGTTAAGAGACTTGATTCCGATTCAGATCAAGGTTTCATAGAGTTCAAAAATGAAGTTGAGCTCATAGCCAAACTTCAACACAGAAATTTGGTTAGGCTCATGGGATGTTGCTCTCAAGGAGAAGAGAAAGTACTGGTCTACGAATATTTGCCAAACAAAAGCTTGGACTTCTTCATCTTTGGTAAATATATATTTGCATTTTCAGACTAAAATTATGCTTTAGATGTTTTTTCCGCTTCTGTGCTAACATTTAATTCACATACAGATGAAGATAGAAAAGTTCTACTGGATTGGGAGAAACGTCTCGCAATAATTGTAGGAATAGCAGAAGGACTTCTTTACCTACATAAGCACTCTAGGTTGCGTGTTATACATCGGGATCTTAAACCAAGCAACATTCTTTTGGATAGCACAATGAATGCTAAAATTTCAGATTTTGGACTAGCAAAAATATTTAGCTCAAATAACAATGAAGGAAATAAAACAAGAAAGGTGGTTGGTACATAGTAAGTTTCCTCTGAATTACTCCATGTATGAATATTTTTATTATAACTCAACCATATAGTAATTGGACATACACTCTTGCTTTGTTTTAGTGGCTACATGGCACCCGAGTATGCTTCCCATGGCCTCTTCTCTGTCAAATCGGATGTATTCAGCTTTGGTGTTTTAGTTCTCGAGATCATTAGCGGGAAGAAGAATTCCCATGAGTGTGGAGCTTTCATTAACCTCATTGGATATGTGAGTGCATATTTACACAATCACATAACAATATAATATTATTTGTTTATTATGTTTCCTACCTAATTATTTGCTGAATGAAATTTAAAATAGGCTTGGCAGTTATTTGAAGAGGAAAGATGGATCGAACTCGTTGATGCGGCATTGATTCCCAACGGTGATTCGTCAGAAATGATGAGGTCCATTAACATTGCATTGTTGTGTGTACAAGAAGGTGCAATTGATCGGCCGACCATGTTAGATGTTGTTGCAATGCTAAGCAACAAGACTATGATCTTAAATAAGCCTAAGCACCCAGCATATTACAGTATAAGTGTAGGCAACAAAGAAGCATCCGCTGCTGCTAAGTCTTGTAGTTTTAATGATGTGACTATATCTACGATAACTCCTAGATAGTTTATCTTCGTATCAATATTATTTTTACTTTGATATTATACAGTGTAGCGGGGGTGTAGTGTGCTGGGGTGTAGCCACTATTTTCCCTAAGCTCTATGCCGTATATGTAGTGCATAAGTTCTTAATTGTAGTGTACTTTGGTGTCTATGAATGTCTTAGTCAAACCCATGTTTATTTTACCGATTCTGAAATGACAGTATGTACACTTTGGTGGGAATGGATGTTTAGTACTACCTCCGTCTCGGTCAATAAGTCATTCGCGTAGTTCTATGTCGACGATTTAACTATCTAAATATGTATTATATGTGACAAAAAAATATATATTTAGAAACTACATCCGTGTAGAAATCTAGTGATATATTTTTCATGACATATAATACATATTTAATTCC